GGAGAGGCACAGGGAGGAGAGGCCCAGGGCGGGCAGAGAGGCACAGGGAGGAGAGGCACAGGGGGCAGAGAGGCCCGGGGTGGGCAGAGAGGCACAGGGAGGAGAGGCCCGGGGCGGGCAGAGAGGCACAGGGAGGAGAGGCCCGGGGCGGGCAGAGAGGCACAGGGGGGGGAGAGGCCCAGGGCGGGCAGAGAGGCCCAGGGAGGAGAGGCCCGGGGCTGCCAGAGAGGGCTGTTATTTTAGGTGGCTGGCGACCTTAGTGCTGGAATTACAGCAGCGGGGGCGGGAGGGGGCTCCTGCCTGTGTCACGTGTGCGAGGACCCTGACACTGAAGTCCTTGATCGCAGAAACCTTGGGTCTGACAGGAGGGGGGGGGCTGAGGAAGAGACTGTCGTCTTGTAAAAAAGTTCTGGAGCTGTCGGCCGTGCTGTGGCGATGGCCTGTGCTTGTGTCAGCAAGGGGTCGAAGGTTAAGGAGGCGACACACGTGACCACGGTTGCTCTATTAAAGGGAGACGTGAGGGGCCTGTGCAGAGATTCTGGGGCTGTTGGAAATGTGCGTGTTCTGCTCAGATGGGGAGCCTTTCTGCTCTTCACCCCTGGGAGGGAGGGAGAAGTGGCTTTTGTGCTTACTGTTAATTTTGTCATTGTGCGAGAGTGGTCAGGACACACACAGACACCCCCTTCTCCTGCCTCCTCACAGACGCACGACAACAGGGAGCACCTGGCCATGATGGAGAGGATACTGGGACCAATCCCTTCCAGGATGATCCGCAAAACCAGGCAAGTCCCGCTCCGCCGACCGTCCCGGGACCAGGGGTCCCCCGTCTCGACGGCGGTGGGGATACCCCGGTCCCAGCGCCTGACTGTGCTGCCTGCCCTCTCCAGGAAGCAGAAGTATTTCTATCACGGCCGGCTGGACTGGGACGACAGCTCCTCCGCCGGGCGCTACGTCCGGGAGAACTGCAAGCCGCTGAGGGTGAGGGCCCGAGTCGCCCCCGCGTCCGCGTGTCCCCGCCTGCTCGCCCGCTGGCCCCCCCCCGCGCTGACCCCCCCTGCCCTTCCTTCCTGTCTGTTGCAGAGGTACATGCTGTCCGAGGCGGAGGAGCACCACCTGCTGTTCGACCTGGTGGGGAGCATGCTGGAGTACGAGCCGAACAAGCGCCTCACGCTGGCCGAGTCCCTGCGACACCCCTTCTTCTCGCCGCTGCGGGGGGGCGCCGGCGAGGCCCCGGGGGACTGCGCGGCCGGCAAGGCCTGGGAGGGCAACCGCGACATCAGCCGGTGACTGCAGGCCCCCGCGTGGGGCGGGCGCGCGGGCGGGGCGGGGCGGAGACGCCGCCGGGACTGAGGAGAACCACAGCCAGCCCCCTGGCGTCCCGAGGGGACAGAGAGACTCGAAACCGGATCGACCGGGCCGGGGGCCGGTCCCTGCCAGCCAGCTGGGTGCAGCGTCGGTCCTGGCGTGGTGGGGGGGGGGAGAGGAGGGGCTCTTGAACTGACCGGGGTCTTGCGGGGGACGCTGGCCCCGATCCCTGCCCGTCTCCCTCGCCCCGAAGGCCCTGTTCTCGCGGTTCACGGACCACCCCGGTGCAGACTGCCGGATCCACGGGACATGGGACACACCCCCTCATTCCTCAGTGTCGCCCCGTGCTTCCCGAGGTGACGGCGGTATTCGGACTTTCACGGGGGGGCTTTGACTTGACTTGGGTGGCACCAGAGCCAGCGTAGCCCCTCTCTGTGCGCTTGTGCCCGTGCCGGGGCGTGGGCAGGGCTGGGGGAGTGTGTTTTCCAGCTGTGCTGGTCACGAGGCACCGCCGGCCCGATGGCGAGGGCGGGGAGGCTGCCCGGTTGTCTTCCTGACCGCAGGATCGTGCTCAAAACTGACGAGCCACCAGCTTCCAGGCTGCTGCCTCTTCTCCAGTCGCAGACGAGAGACTTGAGGCTTTTTTTTGTCTTCCCCCCCCGGGAGAGGAGGGGGTAGTATCCTGTACGTCACACTCCAGGGGTGAGGAGCCTGGCTCACGGAGAAGAGACCACCGGCTGCCAGGCTGGGGTGTCTGAGGCGGGAGGAGGTTGTTAAAGATTTGGGGCTGTTCTCATCTGTCAAGACGCGCAGACCGGAGCCCAGGGGGGCGACCCCACTCACACCTCTCCTGCCCGAGCTGCCCGTCAGCCCGTCATGTCTGTGGCTGGACGTTTCTAAACAAACCGGGAGTGTTTTTTTGTTTTTTTTGTCAGCGTCTGAAGGTGGCGGAAGAGTTCTATCGCCCTCGGGATTCTCGGGGTTCCCCCGCGGGGCTCACCTCCAGGGTTCGGTTGAGAGCTCCGCGAGAAAGAAAACCCGGAGGCGGTGGATGCTGGAGAAGCCGGATCTGGGGCCACAGGATTGTCGGGTTTCCTGGAGGGGTGAGGTCACTGGCCTGGCTCGGTTTTTGACAGCGACTCGGACCTCCTACAGTCTCGCACAGACCTGCGACCTGCCGAGGGACCCCAGCTCCCGATTCCCCATTCGTCAGGAGCGCCGGCGGACTGGACTTGCAGTGGTGTCCGGCCCCCCTGATTTGACCCCCTTTCCTCCTCCTCCTCATCGCTGCTGGTTCCTCGTCGGTGTGACTTGGTTCCTCTCTCTCTCGGGCCCGTCCCGCCGAGGAGATGGCCGCGTTGTGCTGTAGCATGTACAGATTTCGGTGTTCTCTCACGTCTTTTCCTTGTACAGTATTGAAGCCAGCGGCGCTTTACTGTCTCCCCCTGCCGAACCCCCCCAGTCTGCCTGGAGCCCCCCGGGGTCGGGCCGCTGTGCTTCTGTAAACTAGTGTGTACATAAGGGGCCCTGTGGCGGTGCTGGGCCCGTGTTCATAGCTGTATATTCTAGGCGCTGGGCAGGAAGTGGCCGTGCAGGCCTCAGTTTTCTGTTTTCATCCCCTCGGGTGAAACCCAGGGGTTTTGTTTTTTCATGTGAAACACTCCCTGCTCACCCGCTCTCTCCCCCCCCCGCCCACGTTGAGCCTCTCCGCTCCTGCCCCCCACCCCTGGAGACCTCCCGTCGGGTCGAGAGGGGGCGGGGGGGGTGCTGTTCCTGCTCCTTCGAGGAGGGGCGGGGCGGGCGGGCGTGGGCTGGAGAGAGAGAGCGTGTGTCGGGGCAAGAGGGCTGGGGACAAGTTGAAAATCACCCTCCGTGTTTTTGCCATATGTAATATTCCAAATGTCAAGTGTTTTATAATAAAAAGATCTTTATACTGAACCCTGGTAGCGTCCGTGCATGTGGAGCCCCCCAGGAGCGGAGAGCCCGGTGGGGTGTCCTCTCCTTCGCTCTGCCTCCGCGCCTCCTGAGACTGAGAGCCCGCTGTACTGGGGGTCCGGGAGGGGGGACCCCAGTCCTCCCGCGATTCCGCTAGTTCCCCAGGGCTGCGTCTCGAAGGGGGCGCAGTGCGCCGGGGGATCGGAGGCGGATTATGGGGTTGGAGCGGGGCCCTGCACACGCAGGGAGATGGGTTTACCCCCCCGGAAGCCCGGGGGCCGGGGCGTCCCAGCCCCCGCTGGTCCAGAGCGTCGGCCACATTTGAAAACGGAAGCAGCTCTCCGACTGCAGGTCTGTGGACCACTCTGCCCTTTGAGGGTACAAGAGCGTTGTGGGGGAAAAATCAGTTGATTCCGGAGGTGTGACTGCTGCAGCCGGGACTCCACCCCTCCACCCCCAGCGCTGCACCGGAGAGCACCACGCCCAGACGGGCGGCTCCTCGGACCCGGCGCGCTCCTGACGGAGGGGCGTTCACGTGCGAAAGCCCGGGTCGGGGCTCAGGTTCTGTCTCCAGCTGCTGGATCCCCTGGCAGGCGCTGCGTGCTCGTAGTCCACGTGTGCTCTCGCCCTAAAGACTTTAATGAGCTTAATCGGGCCGCTTTGCCACTGTTCTCGGTCCTGATGGTGCTTGACGCGGGCCCGACAGCCAGACAGCAGCCCCCTGGGCAGGGCGACCGTGAGTCGGAGCCAAGCGCAGGAGAAATGGCAGGTACCCTACGTTTGGGAGAAAATTCCCAGCAGTCTGGGCTGTCTCTCGCCTGTGTCTCGTCTCCCTGCGCCTCAGGCTGCTTCAGCCGAACCGGGGTGCCATCGTGGCCCCATCCGCGATCATCAGCCCAGTTTAATACACGGCAGGTCTGCACGAGCGCCTCCCCCTCCCCCTCCCCCCCGTTCCCATTCATTTCCGAGTGTCCTCTGCTGTCAGTGCACAGGGCCACAGCCGCCGTCTGGGGGGCCTTGAGTGGTTCCTGCCCCCTCCTCCCCGCGCGTGCTGACCTCGTCTGGGTCGAGCCCTCGCACGGCAAGGAGAGGGGGAGCTTTAGATTTTAAAATAAACAGCCAGGACAGGGGCCCTCCAGGACCAAGACAGTGACACTGTCATCAAATACAGTGCAGTACAGTGTGCTTTACTATGGCAGATCATTAAATACAGTGCAACACTGGTGATTTACTTTAGTATGTCATTGAACACAGTGCAGTATTTAATACAATACAGTACTGGTATTATACTTAACTGCGACAGATCATTGAACACAGTGCAGTACTGGTGCTGTACTGTAGTACAGTGTTGACTATACTGGGGATTACTGTTTACTGTGGGTGCAGTAATCTCACTGGACACTGCTTCAGCCTAATGCGAGACAGCTGGGCAGTGACCGTCTGTAACCGGATTACTGCTGGGGGGTGGGGGCGAGGGCCCGGTTCCTGTCTCAGTCCTGCTGGCCGCCTCTGTCCGTCTGCCCCCTGACAGCTGGCACTCGGACCCAGGCCCCCCCTCCACAAGCACAGCACCCACCCACTGAGGCCTGTGTGCAGGGGCGCGGGACACTGCAGCCAGACCTTCTGGCGTGAATCGGCAGTTTGCTGGACTCTTCGTCCTCCTCTCCTGTCTCACCTGTCTCTCTCTCCTGTTTTTCCTCTTGTAGTGTACATGTCTCCCTCACCTGTCTCTCTCCTGTGTCTCTGGTCTCACCTGTCTCTCTCTCCTGTCTCTCCAGTCACCTGTCTCACCTGTCTCTCT